ATACATGAGATGACATAACTCATGAAGGAATGCGTCTTATACCATAATTAATTTACTTAATAAAAATTAACAGAAACGTAATTTGAATGCCAGTGCATTTATGTAAAGAAATTAACCATTTTTCTTATTTTTTTTCTTTTGGCCTTCTAAAATATAAGAGATTCGGTGTTGAATATGGCTACTTTCAAATATAAATACATATTAAAAGGACATATTGTCCTATATCTTTATTACCATAGGAAGTAAGCTGCAATTGTAATTAATCTGTAATCGGTACTCTCTCAATGCTATTTCAACAGAGGCTACAAACAAGTTATCTCTACTAAGGGAAAGCAGGATGTTTCCACTTGATTTCCAAATAATCCCTCTTGGTCGACCAGTGATGGGACACATAGAAAACAAGCTAATGCTCCTATACACAGTGGCAGAGTACCAAGATGAAACAAGCTTTACGAAACTATTATTTTGTAATAATATTTAGAAACTACTCGCAGTCGGCGTCACCAAACTTGTATAGGCCTAAAACCAAGACCGACCACCCTTATTTACTCTCTGAACTTGAGTCTAGCTCGTCTCCACGATGGAAAGAACTCGACTCTTGTTAGAAGTCGGCACTGCTCATGCTTAGACAGATCAACACCTCCCGACTCCTGGGTTTATCAACCAGTTTGTACTACATTTATTTGTTATAAATTCACAAGTTAACTTCCAGCAAGCAGTACTTCAATCACACTGAACTGCCTCCCAAGGGATCCGCTCGCCCTGCCGGTCTATCCCAGCTCGGGATACAACATCGGTGCAGATTAAGTATTAAAGAATTATCTTAGAGAGTCGTAAAATGTTGACCTAAAAATATCCACGCCTAATGGGCTTTCTCTGTCTTTGGGTAGAATGGAAAACTACTTGAACATAAGGGCTCAGGATTCCACCGAAATGTCGGTGCGTGTATTTTGTTTCCAGAAAACAATAACAACAATTCCCCCAATGGGACTTCAATGCCCGATTCCCACACAATATTTCAGAACAGTTCCCACGTGAATGTTTACGCAAAAACACATAGAACACCGGCCAACGTGCTATTATAACACAATACAATTTATTACATAAAAATGGAGGGAGAGGTTACGACTATTTTAAAACGCTGTAAAATGACTTTTGTTCTGCGATAGCTACGTTTGGTACACTACATTAAGCCATTACCTTCGGTCAGAATAATAAGTTTTCCATTTGTAGTAATTATTATGGCAAGATGTTATGTAGCATTTTTCCATATACTCTAACTGAATTCAAATTGATATATTTGTTTAGGTTCGAATGTGTGAATTAATCAGTCTAGTTTTGTATGATTCTAATTACTGTGCTGATAGAATTGTTGTATTACTGATGTCGAGTGTTACCTGTGCAAATTGAATGTTGTGAATTATTGTTAGTGTTCAGGTCCTTAGTATTTTAAACTCTGATTCAGCATTTCATACTTCTAAAGTTACATTTAGTAACTTATTTTGTTTTTGCTTTACAGAGCTAGCAAATTATGAACGAAATGTAAATGGTAATATTTATAAATATAATGCATACCGCAATGCAGCTGTTGTATTAGCTGCTCATCCCACACGTATTCAGTCTGGAGAAGAGGCTCGAAAGCTAAATGGTGTTGGAGAAAAAATTTCCAAAAAAATTGATGAATTTCTTCAAACAGGCAAATTACAGAAGCTGGAAAAGGTACTTTAAAAATGTGTCTTATTTTATTGTTAGGTGGATGTTGCTGCAAGCTGCTAAGTTTTATTGTTTAATTGTCATGGGACCTAATGGTATGGGGTAAGAGCCCTCTACCTCAGATAGGTAGTAGTCATTCCAGGATCCTGGTAACTGGGATATGGAATTAATACAGAACTAAACACATCAAACCACAGTAAGTACATTACACTTAAAAATGGGACATTGTGACAATTGAAAGTACAGAGTACAGTAGAGAGTAGAGTACATCGGCATTACACAAACAATTGACGAAAAGCAAAGACCGCGAAGGGAGTGCTTTAAACCACCGGCTTTTTGGGGAAAACAGCACGACAAACTGAAATTTCCTTCCTACAAGAACAAAATATTTACCTTTAATACTGTGACTATGTGACAAATTGGGCATACGTTACTTGGGATACCACAGGAGATTATCTGTTGTCAATTAGTTAGTTAGTTAGTTAGTTAAGTGTTCTTTGTGGAGAATGTAATCGAAACCACGAATCGGGGTTAAAATTACTGTCAAACTAACTCTGTAATGACAGGAGAAAAATGATGTTCATAAAATCTCAGTCACTCATTTGACAATAGAAAATGCTATAAGAAGGATAGAGGAGCATCACTCATAATGCCCAGAATTCTCACCTAGGGCGAACAGACAGCCGTGGAAGGCGACGCAAGAGAAACTGGCACGTTTAGATAGCATTCGTGCAACGAACGTCCACTGGTCGGTGTCCGGGTCAAAAACTTCCACCGAGTTTAGATTACCGTTTTCATCATGTCCACCAGTGACGTATATTTTGTCTGTAAAAACAAATTAGGTATATCACACGAACTGTACACATATTTGGTGTAGGCAGAGGCTTTAAACTGGTCCCTGCAGAGCACAGACATGGGACAATCCGTACTTAAATATTGTATTTAATGTCCCCCTTCGTGTCATAGCAACTGCACGGACACGGCTGTCTCTGTTCATCTGTTTCTTTGTTTCGAATACAGACAATCAGCGTGTCAGAGGAAAAGTTAAATGGATGAAAATAAACTGATAAAAGTTAATATATACAGCATGAAGTGCTTAAATTAATGCACAAAGGAAATGATTGTACGTTGCATCTTCTGTAAAACGAATCTGATTAAATTTGGTACCAGAGATGTACGGTACAAGCTACCAAGCGGTGATCTACATTTTTAATATAATGTGCTATTTACGTGAGATTATTAAGTGTTTCAAAAACATTATACATCTGTAAGATTTGAGGTTTTCACAGCGGTGAGTATGACGATTTCTGTCTTCTGGGTTGTTGCGCAACAACCCAGAAGACAGA